GGAGGGCGAGGCGGGGAAGATTTAACTCCCTGTCAACAGGGTTGGTTTTAGGCCACCTGGTGGTGAGGATACTGTCTGTCTTCCCCAGGAGCCAGGGGTGGGACCGGCGAACCGTGGGTGGTGGGGTTTCCCAGAGCTGCCCCTGCCAGGAACTGCGTGCGGGTCGTAGCAGCGGGGACACAGGGCTTTCCACGAAGGTGAGGCTGTGATGGTCACGGCTGCCCAGTGCTCGCCCTGGAGGCCAAGCCAGCCTCCCTTCCCGCCGTCCTGTTGCCCCTGCCTTAGCTGAGGCCTCTCGCCCAAACCATTACCACAGTCTCCTGGGATAAGATGGCAACAAGCGGTGTCCTCCCAGCCACAAGGCACGTCCCTCGGACAGTGAGACTCATCTCTGGGTGTCAGAGCATGGCTTCAAGCATTTGACACGTTTACTGGGCGACAACTATGTACTTGGTCTGTTCTAGACCCGGGGTTACCACGGGGAACAAAGCGGAGGCACTCCCTGCAGGCAGAGAGTTCTCATCCCCGGGAGAAGGCAGGGAACACGTGATTTTAATCAGTGGAATGTGGGGTACAGAAAATGAATATGGTTATGTGACAGGGGGTTGGTGAAGCTCTGCGGCAGGAGCAGGAGAATGTCGGCACCCTCCCCTGTGCCCCGTCTGCGGCTGCAGCCAGGACCAGCTGAGGGGCTGGCTCCGACTCCTAGGTGTTGTCAGGGTGCCCGCAGGAGGCAGGGGGCCGCTCCCCCCAGGAAGGGGGCCCGGGGCCCCAGAGGCAGAGGAGAGGGGCCTGCCCTCCCGGGGAGGTAGCATGGTTAGGCAGGGGCCGGCTGCTTCCGGTTTCCAGGAGATAACGTGCCTACTAGAACGAGGCTCGGCTTCGTCCGCCCAAGGGGCAGGCAGTCCCCTGGCCCGGCTCTGAGAAGGGGGTCCTGGCGTCTCCCCGCCCTGGTCTGCATGCGTGCCTGTGCTCTGACACGTGCCGCTCCCACGGACCACCCACGCGTCCTCCCCGTGCTCCCCACCCATGCCCCATCCTCATTGCCTGGGGACGCCCTGGGGCTTGACGCTGTCAGAAGCTCAGCCCGGGACCACGTCTCCCCACGTGAACCCCCGCTCTCCCCACTGAGGTTTGCAACGGACATCTGGGAAAACTCCAGGGAACTCTTGGTAGGGGACCTGCAGGCGGAGAGCCCCCCCCACCCCAACTCAGCTTGGCCGCCTCCTCCCCCAGGAAGCCCTCTGGGCCCCCGACCTTCCCGCTGATGGCCCCACTGTTCATTTCTGGGACCAGGCCAAGATGGGTTCCTTGAGCAGCCGTGGGGCACGTGGGATGAATGCTTCTCGGGTAGGGTCCTCAGGGCACCCTGGTGTGGGGGTGGCCCGAGGGACCCACATGTCGGGGTGCAGCCTCTGGGCAGCGCCAGCTCCTCAGACGTCCTCGGTGTTCACACCCGCGGCCTGAGTCCCAGAGAGAGATGCTGGCTGGTCAGGCGCCCCTGCTCGGAGCCCGGAGGGAGCAGCGGGAGGGCCCCGAGGGAGAGACCGCGCAGTCCACACCAGCAGACATGGTTTATTCACTCCCCACCCCCCGCAAACTCTCGGCTAGCTCTAGGAGGACATGAGACACGAAGCCACGCTCCGGCTATCCCCTAAACACAGAAATGAAATTGAAGGAACCAATCGACCACAGATGGGCTTCTCTCCTTCCGGGCCACCCGGCAGCTGGACAAAACGCCCCAGCAAAGAGGGAGGTCTGGCCGCATCGGGGCAGGGGCTGGGCCGGGGGTGCCCCCATGCCCACCGGGCCCGGCCCTGGGCCTGCATCGGCTGCACCCAAGCGGGAGCGAGGGCAAAGCCCAGGCCCGAATGGGAAGTGGCGGACAGCAGTGTTAGAAGGCACTCCGTGGTACGGGGTCAGGGCCGACTGTGGGTCACAGACCTCTCTGGGGGGCGAGGGGAGCGCCCAGCCTGCATCCTCACCACCACTCGGCCCTACCACCCTCCCTGGGGGTGGACGTGGGCTGGAGAGACACCGCCCAGCTCAGGCCTGCAGACCTCTGGCGGTGGGGGATCTCTAGGCTGGGGGTCTGGAGGGGGCACTCCTGGCCTGGCTGTGCCCTCAGGCTTACCTCTACCGCCCAGCTCTCCCTGGCCTGCCTCCCCAGCCGAGAAGGGTCGGTTGGCAGGGCTTCGGGTCCACGCAAAGCTGCGGCATCCAAAGGAAATGCCTCAGAAACCCACATGCTTAGTAGGCCACGGGCGAGTGCGAAGCTAGCGAGAAACGCCAGGGTTTCCCATCGCTGTGCCCCACCTTCTACCCCGCCATGGGGGCCTCAGGGTGGGGAGGGGGTGGCCCCACGCGGCTCTCACTCCGGGATAACGTGAGGATTTAAACACGAGTGCTTTTAAAGAAACCCACGGAGCCTTCCTGGAAAGGAAAACACGACAGTCCAACGTCGTCGGGATGAATCCAGGGAATCACGTGCAGGGGTGAGGCTGCTCACGCGGGCCCCTCTCCGCCCAGCCGGCCCTGCTTCCTCTGGACGTCGCCCTCGGGGGCCGCACCCGCCTCCCGCAGCCTCTTGCGGAAGCGCGGCCCGGGCCTGCTTCTGGGGGGCGGCAGAGGCTCCATGCCCAGGATCGCGTGGATCTGCCGGAACGCCAACAAGCGCAGGGCGTGCTGGGGGCAGACAGCGGGTCAGTGCCCCCCGCACGGCACCCCAGCTCGCCCTGCGCCCACAGCCCAACTCGGAGCTCAGGACACACTCAGGCGCGAAGAGAGGGCGGGGGCTCGCTGGGGCCGGCGGATGGCAGGACGCCGCCAGGACGCCCCTCGGGGCATCGGCCCCTGCTGGCCTCTCCGCGGGGACCCCGAACCCTGCATCTCCTGTTCGCCTCTGATCCTGACCAACTTGGCGCTTCCTGTTAGGGGCGATTCGTAAGCGCCAGGCCTGGCGTGGTTTCTGGGCCGCTGGGAGATCTAAGCAAACTTGCCCGCTAAAAGGAAACCACAGCCAGGGGCTCTGCTGGGGTGCGTGGGGCTGGAGGCCACAGCTGGGTGTTTTCACACCACAGGGCAGGGGGCCGAGGGGCGCCCAGGAAAGTTCCAGCCAGCAAGGTCCCGGGGGCAGTCCTGTCACCCTCAGGCCGCCCATCTCTGCAAAGGGAAGGAGAGGGGGAGGGGCGGCCCCCACCTTTGGAGCCACAGGGCCTGGCTGTCCTACCTGGGCACTGGCCGTGATGTCCTCGCGCTGCTGGGGGGTCAGGGACCCGAGGGCGTCCCTCTGGTCTCTCTCGCAGGGATCCTGGAGCCCAGGCCCATCTTGGCGAGGGGAGGTGGGGGCAGCAAAGGAGAGAGCCCCCCGGTGAGAGACTGCCACGGCCGTGGGGCAACGCGGGGGCCCAGGCGGGTCCCACGGGGTCCGTCCCCGCCCCCCACGCGCCGTGTGACCGCACAGACGGGCCCACTGCATCGCTTCTGCTCTTAGCCTGCTACCATCCTGTCACTAGAGCGACCAGGAAACCCCATTTCTACAGCTGACATCTCAACTGTGGGGCGGTGCGGGGTCTCCCTTGGCGGCGGAAAATACGCCGCATGAACACCTCTGCCTACAGCCCGTTATCTGCATTGCGGCTGTTTCCTTTGGCAAGATTCCCGGGGCTCTCCAGAAAGGGCGGGTGGGCCCCCGAGAACCAGGGCCCTGCTGCCCCAGGGCGGGCCCCCTCCTGCCCCAACCCGTGCGCCCCGCTCTCCTCCGCGGGCGCGTCCACGTGCCTCCACTGGGGCGCGTGCGTCTGTCCGGGCCCGTCCTCCCATCTGCCTTGACGGTGCTCCCGAGTGCGTGTAAGCCACATGCTGCGGGTCTCTGGGCTCCCCGGCCGGCGGGACTGACCTGTCAGGAGTGTCCCCGAGGCCACACACTCCAGGACACGCCTCATGCCGTCCCCAGGACTGAGGGGCCCTGATGCGCTGCTCAGAGCCTTCTCCACCAGCAGCTCCATGGCCTGTGCCGGGTGGGGACAGGAGAGACACCGTGCCTTGGGGGACAGCACGCGGGCCTGCCTCCCGCCCGAACCGGAGCGAGAGCTGCAATGCCGGGCTGGGCGGGGTCGCCAGGGGACCCTGAGCTCCTTCCCTCAGGCCCACCCACCCTTCAATTTCTGCGGAGGAGGGGGATCCCTGGAGCCTCGCCTCCCGCCTCCTCGGGGCCTGGCTGAGCGCAGGTTTCTTCACTCTCCACGTCTCCCGACTCCTCATCGGCAAATCCTGGGCACAGTAACACTGCGAGCCAGCGTCCCGAGGGTTAAAAGAACCGCTCTCTGTGACCCTTGTGCATTTAGCTGGGGTCCCGATGACCCACTGGGCTGCTCTGGCATGCCCCCCTCCCCAGGAAGCCACCCTGCCTCAGGGGGGGTGTCCTGCGGGCGGGACCAGGACGCGTGCTATCTTGGGGGTGCTTCTAGATTTACAGGAAAACAGCTCCTCTCGGCGTCAGAGAGGACCCCGCGTCCACAAGGGGGTTGTGTCAAGATCGATGTTCCTGCTGGACACGGGGCAGGAAGTGGAGACTGGGATGGGGGGGCTCGAGAACCCTTGGTTTTGGAGACGGCCCTTGTGACTAAGGCCCAGGGCGGCCGGGCGGGGGTGGGAAGGGTCTGCTTGTCTAAGAGCCCGACTTTGGTGGGGGAGACATGCTGCCCACAGAACTGACATACAAAGCAAGCGTCCCCCAAAGTAAAGGAGGGAGGGACAGACTCAGACCCGCCAACGGGTGCACAGACATGGCGTGATCCCAGAGAAAGGTGTTGGGGGGTGCCCCAGAGAGGGCAGGCAACTTGGGGTTTGGGGGCATGGGTGCCCCTGGATCTGTCTTCTCCCTTTTCCCCCGATGGGCTTCAGGCTGACTGCCGGGGGGTGTCAGAGCCCTGGGGGGTCTCCCCATCAGAGGGAGGGGATGTGCCAGGCGGCCCCCAGGCCAGTGTCCTGGGCGCCCCTGCCTTCGCATGCTCCCTGGTTCTGTCTGCAAGGTGTGGGTTTCAGATGATGGCAGTCAGATGAGGCTATGCTCCGTAGCAGGCCTCTTCCCGGTCCCCAAGGGACCCCTGAGACGCCCCCACTGCATCTACCTTTCCTGGCTGCTCAGGCTTAAGGGGACCCCTTTCGGAAAGCCCAGCACTGGGAAGGGGGGCATCTGTCTTGGACAAAATGAGGCCCGTGGGGGCGTGGAGGCCACCTGGTGCTGCCTTACCCAGTGTGGCAGGGCCCCCCAGGCGGGCACACGCCGGCAGAGGTCACGGAGGACCCTGAGGACAATCACACATGGCTGCAGGCCGCTGGCTCGAGCCTTGGGGGGAAAAAGTACACCGTCAGCTCAGGGAGCCACGTGCGCGAGGCCCGGGGCACAAGGGCTGATGCTCGGGCCGTGGGCCTGGCCCAGGAGGGACTCCGGGGGCCCACACAGGCCGGCTGGCCTCAAGCATGGCAGCTGGGAGCGGAGTCCCTGCCCAAAGGGGCCCAGGCCAACTGAACGGTTCCAGTTCGGAGCCCCTGGTACCCGCCATCGGGTGGCTGCATGGCCACGGCGTCCCCACCCCCGGAGCAGCGAGCACTCCGCTCACGTTCCCGACACGAGTGTCGGGTTCGCGCTTGGCGGGGAGAAACGAGACACGGGCCAACCCGTGCGGCACCCCTGCCTCCTGACCTGGAACCACTTGGCATGGCGGAGGGCAGCCAGCGACTGGAGGCACTTCTCTGGGCTCAGGACGTCACCTGGGTCGGACGGAGGCACCTGCATTCCCTCTAGAAGGAAAGGGCGTGTGGGCACAGAGCCCCTTCCCCTCCGCCCGCCTTCCTGGGCCCTCGGGTCTCTGGAAGGGATGGGGCTCCAGACCGTCTTTCCTCCAGGACACTGCAAGGACCGGAGAAGTCACGTCCCTGCAAATCCTCTCCCTCTGCGGTCCCATGGTGAGCAAGTACAGTTCAGGTGGGAAACTATGAATGAAGCCACATTTCCAGAAACTAACAAGGGCATCAACCACAAGAGAGGAAGTGGGTCAGACTCCAACAGGTGCCTTCATTGATGGCGAAAGCCCCGAGTCTGGGAGAGACTCAGGCACCTTTTCCTGCCTTCTTACTACTGCCTCACACTCCCCTCCTGGCTCCAGGAGGCCCCCGATCACAGAGGTCAGGCGATGGGACCGAGTGTCACTTGTGCATAAGTGTCCCCACACGTGGGTCGCGGGCCAACCCCTCCTTCAGGCTGAGATGAGCCGGCAGGGGTGTGTCTGAGAGGAGGGGCTTTCGAAGCTCCCCTCTGGTGACAGCCAGCCGGGGCCTGGACCCCCCTGCGGGGACACAGCGGGGGTCCCCTCCAGCCAGCCCCACTCAGCAGCCTCGGAGCGCTCACACTTGCCCACGCGCCTAGTCTGCCCCATTGGTGAGTCTGAGCAAAGCCCAGCGGGGCCTTCAGCTAGAATTTAATGATGTTGTTTCATCTCCCGTGTTTATTTTCTTAGACGACCATGACAACTGGTACTGTTTTCCACCAACAGTTCAAGGGTGCCACTCTTAAAAAACGTAAGTGACAAAAATGAACTGATTTAAAGAACGTTAGACGGTGGCCCTCTGCTATGACAAAACAATCGTGACGGAGGTTCGAGAATGACTGGAGCTTGGAAGACAGTCGCGGGGCTGTTCCGGGAGGTTCTGTGGCTCCCGGAGGCCCGCAGTGCGTTCCTGGAAGCTGGCCTTCACCACGTGGCCGTGACTCGAGGCCCTCGCTGCCCGCGGGCCTGGCCCAGCACCCTGCCCACTCCCTCCGGCGATGCCAACCCGCCTCAAGTCCCCTGAGCCCCCACGTCCCACACAGAGGCTTTGCCACCCGTGGAGTCGGCTGCGGCCCCGGCTACACAAACACAAGGAATCAACCGAGCCCCGGGGACCCGGCCCAGCCGGTCTCCCTGGGTGGAGAGCAGGAGCCTATGCTGGCCCGGAGGCGAGGGGAGGATGACGGTGCTGCGCGCCCGAGGTCGGTGCCCCGGAGCGCACCACAGCCTGGGTTCTGTCGGCGGCCGCCCCGACGCCCAGCTCTTCTCTGACGGTGGCATCCAGGGCTGACCGAAGTGCCAGAAGGTCGTCGGCCGTGGCCCCCACCCCACCCAGCACACGGGCAGATGCTGCCCTCAGCCACCAGGGGGCGCGGGGCGTGGGGCGGGAGAGAAGGGTCTGGCCGCACCTTGGTCCCGGGAAGGGTCCTCCCGCATCAGGGGCGAGGTGAGGGACACAGTGACCCTCATCCTGGGCTCCTCGCAGGAGGAAATGATGATGATGTCTTCGGAGTCGGAGGAGACCTCGTACTTGTCTTCTGTCACCATCTATGAGGTGCAAATGCAACACGAGTCCGTGTCACCCTGGCTGAGAAGCAAGGATGTGGCCGAGTGCTGGGCCCCGTGCTGGGCGCCTGGAACCGCCAAGGGACGGAGACGTAGCCCCTGGCCTGCGGGAGTGCACCTACGTAGCAGTGCGTACGGATAACAGACCCGGCATGTAGGTGCCTTCATATGTAAAGAATGCCTGCAGCTCAACAAGACCAGCAATCCAATTAGAAAAACAAACTGGTGAGTGACATAACAGGTAGCTTGCAGAAAAGAGACAGACATGACTCTCTTTATGCAACAACACAGATTACTCCCGTGGTAAGAAAGAAGGAAATTAAAACTGACGAGGTACCATCATCACCTGGGAGCACAGACCTCAAGAAGTGTGAAGCACAGCGGGGCTGGCAAACCCGGGCATCTATAAACTGCTGGGGGAGGCTGACCTGGCAACATTTACCAGAAACATCTGGTCTCACGTATTTGGCCAGCAATTCTGCCCCTGGGATAAGCTCTCACGTGCGTATGAGGTCACCTTCTCGCTGGAAACAACCTGAATGTCCAACTACACAGAAGGGCCCCTCAAGTTATAGACGAACAGCAGTGAAATGCTCGTCGGCCGCACAACACAATGACGTTCCTTAAATATGCACATGAAGTTGGACCCAAGGGGCGCTAATTGACAACAGCAAGATCCTTCAGCGGGTCTTGAACATGCTACGGTTTGGCACACCAGGGGAGAACAGGGAGAACCCATTCGGTGTTCAGGTTCCAGACAAGACCCAGGCCCCCTCTGGCTCTGGTCGCCACCCCCTGCCTGCCACAGGGGCCCAGGCACGGCCCCCGCCCCTCCCTGGGGGGTACCCTGAGCGGGTCACCCTCACAGGCAGGCCCTCCGGGGAGACTTCGTAACGGACGCGGGTTTGGTGCAGTGCCCACTGCCCGGTAGAAGCCTTACAGCGTCCCTCGCCTTGTTTTGAAGTCCCTGAGACGTCTGGCCAGGGCTCCCCCGAGCTGCGCGGAGCTTCAGGCAGCTGTCTCTGCACCCCTAGAAATGCTCTCTGCCCCGGCTAAGCTGTCTTCCCCCACCTGGCCGGCACGGGGGTTCAAATGCTTCCCCCTCACCTCCCTGGACTTCATGCTGCTTCACATCTTCGTGCGGGGACCGGAGAGCCCCAGGCCTGCCTCAGGGTGCCTGGGGCCTGCAGCACGGAGATGTGCACCCAGCACCCAGCATCCTCTGACGCCACCTGCATGCACGCCTGATGCCTGAATCACACCTTCCTCCTGCCTGCTACCCAGTCCCGTCCAGGGCCTCCTCCTGAGGGGGCCCCTGCGGGCGGCCCTGTCCATGGCGCTGGGGTGGGGTGCACTGCCTGCTCACCCACAGCCTGGGCTGTCTTCGTGAGCCTGCATCTGAGCCATGCCTGTGCCCCTGCAAGAGCTGGCAGGAAACCACTGTGTCATGGGTGTGAAGGAAACAGGTGTTTACTGGTTTATTTAAAAATTTATTTATCTGAGAGAGAAAGAGCGTGTGCGTTCATCTGTGAGAGTGGGGGTGGGTGGGGAGGAGCAGAGGAGGAGGGAGAGGGAGAGAGAGAACCTCAAGCAGACTCCCCACTGAGCACAGAGCCTGTCATGGGGCTCGATCCCCTGACCCCAAGATCATGGCCTGAGCCTGTATCAAGAGTTTGAGGCTTAACCGACTGAGCCACGGAAATGAGTATTTAAATCAACCAAGCGGCATTGTCACTCCTCTGCTCAAAACCCTCCTGTCTTCCCACTTCCCTGAGAATGCAGGCCTACCTGCTTGTATGGCCTTCAGGCCTGGTGTGATCTAGGCCCCCGTGTGCCGCCCCCAGGCCTCCTGCCGCTCGGCCGCTGCAGATGCAGGTCCTTCTACGTGGAACACTGTTCCCCCATCTTTCAAGGCCTCCCCTGTCGGGATGCACGCCTCCCCCCTCCCTGCCGGTGCTCCCTCCTTGGCCTCTGACTTTCATTTCTTCACAAACAGCACACTGGACATCCACTTGCTCTTCTGCTTGCTCGTGACCAGAGTGGGGGCCCCGGAGGGTGGGCCTGGGTCTGTGCAGCCCCCAGTGCTGGATTCTCCCGGGAGCAGAGACAGACTCACCAGCAAAGAGACCCCCTCCACCCCAGGATCGGACTTTTTTAACCTGAGATCATCTCAATCCTCCCCCAGTCAAGGTCTCTGATGAGAACGTCCCATGACAGTCCAGAGAGGAGCCCAGGCAGCCTCCCGCTGTCCCCAAACGGGTTT